ACAATAAAAATAACTTGCCTTAATCCGTTTTCTTTTTAAATAGGTTTTGCCTGTTTATACTCAATATCCGTGTTAAACATCTCAGAAATGGTTAGTATGAGTTTAAATAAAACAAATCTGGTGATTCATCCAATGATGAGGCCCTACGTTGTGTTTATTTCGGTTAACGAGGATGACTCCAATTGCTCGGCGGTGGTACAGTGAACTCGAATTGCGAACCCAATCAAAACTAATGATTTTTCTTGCCTCCGAGAGGCAGCGTGCCTACTCGGAGTATTTTGATTTACTGAATATTTTATTTAAAATCTTTGGCCTTTTATACAGTTTCATATAATAGATAATAATTAAACCATCTTCATTTGTGATTTGAAACAAAGTGGAAACAAAATACAGATTTAATTCTTTTCAGTGGAACAAAGTGGTGAAATATTTCGCTGCTACATTTCGTCATGGCTATTTTGATGCTTCATAGGATTTGCCCTTCATATGACATTTCCATGGAATCGAGAACAAAAGTGTTGTGAATCACAACATCCCGGCCTCCAAAAAATACAAAGATTTTTTTTTTTAGTTTAATCGTAATGAAATGATCAAAGCTAAACCTGTTGCGATTTGTAGTTTTGTGAAAATATTCCTAGTGACTAGTAAGTCGAACGTATGAAAAAGCTAATCCATAGCTACATGATTTTAAAAACAATAGTGTCTCAACTGCATGCGCGATGGTGACTGATGAGTTGAGCGTCCTTCTATTCATTCTGTTCTAATGGTCGTTCATGCTGCTGCTTCTATTCTTGGTTTGATAGATATGGTGCTTGTTTGAATGTATGCCGGTTCCATGGCCGCTTGTCCTTAGCTTCTCTGGTAGTGGTGGCTGGCTCTCATCGGGTTTGATGTTGGATCGCAATAGCATCCTCCTAGTGCTTCGTTCGATATGATTAACCGCAGGTAAGGGAACATATTCGGAATAGGAATAGTCGACATGGGACTAACGTATATGCTGATCCTGGCGCTGGGAGACTCGTTGTGGCGGTTGTGTCATCTTAGACAACCCTGGCCTGACTATGCCAAGTGCAAGGCCTGAGTTCCCGGGAGGTAGCAAAGGGATTAGGATCTGATTGAATCGAGCTTGGAGGACAAAGCTCCAAAAATGATCACTTTGCCAGTGAGCCATAACTGCTGTGATTCAATCAGGGTAAAGTGTTGTAGGATGAGGAATTAGGAATACCATCTTGTTGACTTCGATGACGGTGATACGGTTGCGTCTAGGTCTTGATCGAGCACTGCTTTAGGCTGATGATGGTTCGTCCTTCCGACGTTGTAATTGGAGATCTCGTTCCAGCTGACCGGTATCCTGGTCACGGCACCATATGATTCATCCAATGATGAGGCCCTACGTTGTGTTTATTTCGGTTAACGAGGATGACTCCAATTGCTCGGCGGTGGTACAGTGAACTCGAATTGCGAATCCAATCAAAACTAATGATTTTTCTTGCCTCCGAGAGGCAGCGTGCCTACTCGGAGTATTTTGATTTACTGAATATTTTATTTAAAATCCTTGGCCTTTTGTACCGTTTCATATAATAGATAATAGTTAAACCATCGTCATTTGTGATTTGAAACAAAGTGGAAACAAAATACAGATTTAATTATTTTCAGTGGAACAAAGTGGTGAAATATTTCGCTGCTACATTTCGTCATGGCTATTTTGATGCTTCATAGGATTTGCCCTTCATATGACATTTCCATGGAATCAAGAACAAAAGTGTTGTGAATCACAACATCTGGTTATTTATTATTTTTTAGTTATTTAAGTGATGTCCTCAAAAATGAGTTTAGCATCTTAAATAAACATTTTTTTTTGAATTAATATAGGTTAACAAATATTCAATCAATGGGTTCACAGGAATCAGAAAGATAAGATCACTCTTTATATTGCCTATGTGAGGTCAGTACTGGAATATTGCAGCATTGTATGGTCTCCTTTTTCAATCACGCACGAAGAAAGATTAGAATCCGTACAGAAACAATTTCTATTATACGCTCTTCGTAAATTAGGTTGGACATCATTTCCTCTTCCATCATATGAAGCACGCTGCATGCTTATAAACATACAAACATTAAAAGAGCGTCGTTAATATGCAATTGTTTCATTAGTAAACGATATCGTTTCGCAGCGCATAGACTCCAAAGAACTTTCCATGCACCTACTCGGCAACTCCGAAATCGAAATTTATTTGCCAAAAGCCATCATCGCACAAATTATGCAAAATATGGGCCATTAAACCGCATGATGGCCTCTTACGATCAATACTGCGAAACCATTGACTTTACAATGTCTCGGCATAAACTAAAACAATATTTTTACTCCATAAGGCATTATAACTCATAAAAAAATAGTAAAGCTTACGCTGCTTAATTTTTATTAAAGACAAAATTATACTTCAACCTCTTTTCCAAAGTTGACGAAATAAATAAATACATAAAATTTAATTCACATTTTTATGATTTCCGACGTCAAAAATGGAATCCAAAATTTACAAAATATGTGATTTTCAGCCAGATTCTGCAACATTTTAGGTTTTGTCCGACCATTGTATGAAGGCACGCCACTGTGTGCCTGGCCAAGTGTCATCCAGGTCGAAGATAGTACAGTGTGGTGACCAACCGTTTGGCGTCGAATCGATCCCTAATTTTCTGGTTCAGAAATCCTATAACATTTTTGACATTTTGAGCTAGTTTAACATTTTTGAAAGATTCGCACTAAAAAATAGTATTTTTAGACCAAATTTCAAATGTATAGTTCAATTAGACTTAAGCAATCAAGCCTTCAAAAGATTTTGCGTGAAATATGTTCAATAAGTTAATTTTTAAGCAGGTGGTGGCCACATTGCCCCATTGGCGAAATTGCCCCCACTCCCCCTACTCTTCCAGCAGATTGAAAAAAAAAATCCTGACTCAACCCATTTACTTCCTATTTACTTGACTTCAAAAAGCATCCCCACTTTCCCTGCTTCCTAACGGTCAATCTTTTTTATCCCTACGCTTCGATTTCCTCGAAAGCCCATGTGCTATCCATTATCGTATTTTTTCGTTTTTCCAATTTTCTTTCACCCCTCCAACCAAAACATCACCACCACCGTCCGTGAGATCCCTTGGTTGAAGTTCAATGCTACAACTGCTGAGACCCTCACGCACCTTCACCCACCCGTCCATGTATGGGTGCTGAGTGTCCTCCTTCATTCATTCCCATTTCTCTCCCTCTCGCAACACCATCAAACCGAATGAGCATAAACAAAAAATCAACATCACTTTCGATTTCATTGTCCACACGACCACCGCCGCCGCCGCCGCCGTCAGCAGCGTGTTTCGGTTCACATACATCCTGAGAGTGGGCCATCCAGGAGGGAAGGGTGGTGAGCACCCCTCGGCCATCATATAGGCCCGGTAACTCAATCCGACCAAAACATAGGCCACTCAACGAGCATTGCCTTTTTTGCTTGTTCCTCCCTTGTTTCCATCGTCGAGTTTCCCTTGCCACTGCACTGGGAAAGGGAAACACAGTGAGGGTCATCCCGAAAAATAAATCCAATGCACTCGATGTCGACGTCGTCTTCGTCAGGGTCACACATTACCGAAAAAATCTCGGATCAGTTTTTAAAGTGCTTGCAACGCGTGAGGTTCTTCGCTCTCTACGCACATTCGAGTAAAGAGGTTACTGCACGCGGAGTGTGATTTTTACGCGTTTCGAAGAAAAACTTATCTTGTGTTTTAAAGGGATAGATGACTTCATAAGTGCATTTAGGTAGTGTGAAATTCGAAGAAGACGATTCAAGGAAAAGGATTCAGTGAAGTTATCTGACATATAAAGTGAATTTTGTGCGAATCGGAAGAGTTGAAGTCGTTTTCGTTGGATACAATGAATAATTGCTGATACAAGCAAGCAAGCAACTCAAGTTTTCAACAGCTCATAGGTAAGTTTGGACTCGAAGGTCAACTCTTTTGTCGCAATATTTGCCATTTTCCTGGAATTTTTTTTACGACCGGTCAGTTTGACTTTTGTCAAAAATTTCTACCCTTGGCAGAAACAAAAAATCAAACACGGGGCGTTCTGGACCCCCGGCGGACTGGAGGTAGAAAAAAAAAGTCACTTTCTCTTTCGCTCGTCACTGTCGGTCTCGGTTTGGCAAACCAAAACTAGAGCAATGTCTGTTGTTTTGGGAAAACGGTTACCCCGTTTCTCCGGGCGGGCAGAGGGATTTTTACGATCTGCCTAGTGACTGTTTTATTGCTCCCAGGGCCCGTCCTATGAATATTCAAATGAGGTCGTAAACGGAGAGAATCGTCTTTTTTTTTTTGCTTGGCTGGTTGGTTGGGAGAATGTTTTCGTTTGGATGATATGTCCCTTTTTCGAGCTGGGGTCGAGTGACTTTCGATTTTTGGAGAGATGGACTGTAAAGCAATAAATTTGATGAAGCCCTGCTTAAAGCGATTGCTTTCGGATCGGTTACGGGACGTAATCCTTTAGAACAGTTATTGGTTGTTGTTTCGGGGCAAATTAAGGGGCCCTGTAGGAAAATATTGACTCAAGAAGTCGGGAATGGGACTGAAATCAGCGTGGCGACAATTTTCCTGGGAAACGGAAAATCTGTCTTGAGACGGAAAAAACGCTCATATTCTTCCCCTTTTATCGATTTTCCAACCCTCCTGAATGCCACAAAAAAAAAACGATCCAAAGAAAGGGAAAACTCATATCGAATCCGTACAGCCTCGTTCCACCGCCCAGGGTAAATAAAAAGCTCGCGCGATGAAAATAAAAATAATCTTCCTCTTGGCAATGTGTGTGCAGATAGCCTCGCCGCACATAGGAAGGCAATTTTTGTGAGGGAGTTCACCCTCGCAGAACGCAAAAAATATCCGACATCAGCAACATGGCGCGTTTTATTAATGGTTTTCTATCTCTCTCCTTCCATCCCTTCTTCCGATTCCCTTTAGAAACAGAAATGCAGAACTTTGACTCAATCATGTCCAGTTCGCTTGCCCAGCGGCAATCGAACGGAGGCAGTTGGTACGACATGACCATCAAGTCGGAGCCATCGGATACTTCGAACAGCTACGGTCAACAATACCCGAGTCATCATCATCATCACCTCCAGCAGCAGGATACTCCAATGTCCCATTCCAGCCCAACGTCACCACAGAGCGTAGACAGCATGGATTCGATGAGCGGTCGAAGTCAATACTACGATGTGAAGCCAACCAACGGATTGATCCACGGGTACAATCCACTCGGGTTTAATCCGTTAACTCCACCTGGATACGCTGGAATGTTCGTTCCAACCCAGCAGCAGCTAGCCAGGCAGACAACTCCAAACCGGAGCTATGCGAAGCAAGACTCCGGTTACGTGTCATCAACGCTCACGCCAACGCATACCCCACCGATGGACGTAACGCCACCAAAGTCCCCCAAGGAAGCTGCAGAGACTCCCGAGAAAGATGACGATCACGGTTCGGACTGTGAAGAGTCCTACGATGGTAGTGAAGACGAAGATGGAATTCGAAAGCCTAAAATAAACTCACACGGCAAGGTCAAAAAGTTCAAGTGCAAGCAGTGCGACTTCATTGCGGTAACGAAGCTAAACTTCTGGGAACACACTCGAAATCACATCAAACCAGAAAAGATGCTAACGTGTCCCAAGTGCCCATTCGTCACCGAGTACAAACACCACCTGGAATACCACCTCCGAAATCACCAGCGATCGAAGCCCTTCCAGTGCCCCAAATGTACCTACAGCTGCGTCAACAAGTCCATGTTGAACTCCCACATGAAGTCCCATTCCAACGTGTTCCAGTACCGCTGTGCCGACTGCAACTACGCCACCAAGTACTGCCACTCACTCAAGCTACACCTCCGGAAGTATTCCCACAAACCGGACGTGGTCCTTAACCTGGATGGCACTCCAAACCCCCTTCCCATCATCGACGTCTACGGCACCCGCCGAGGACCGAAAACCAAATCGCAGAAAACCCAGAACGTCAAGCAAGAAACTCAACCCAACCAACCAGCCCAAAACCCACAATCCCACCAATCCATCCCGAACCAATCAGCCTTCACCCCTCCCAACGCTCAACCGACCAACCTGTCCCGAACCCTACTACCACACCAGCTCCTGCCGAACCCCTTAGCCCACATGTTCAAGAGCGCCGCCTCCAACAACCTCTCCCTGTTCCCGTACCTGAATCTTAACTTCCAGATGTTTGCAGACCAGCAGGCCGCCATGGCCCAACTCTCCCCCAACTTCCACCAACAGTTCTCCTCCAGCCTCACTGACAAGCTCACCAGCGAAGACTCCACCGAACCCCCCTCCAAGTGCTCCTCCATCTCGACATCCCCAACCACCGCCCCAACCACCACTTTGAGCGAGGAGCTCCTCAAGCAGATCACGGCTGCCGCCGCCGATAGCTCCAACCTTAAATCCTCGGAAACTGACTCCGAACCCGCTCCTGCTCCGGAAGAACCCCCAACGCCGCAAACCCCATCCACCAGCTGCACATCCCATCCGACAGCCACCATCTCCGGAGCTGGTGGAAGTACCGGTAAGAACCGTCGCAAGGGCCGTGCCTTCAAGCTGGAACGACTGAGCGAATTCACCAAAGCTCTGGAAACCGCACCGTCACCGATGGACCAATCGGACGATGAACATTCCAATGGATTTGAAAGGCATCAGCAGCAGCAGCAGCAGCAGCAACAACCTCAACAACAACCACAACAACAACAACAACCAACGATGGTCGATTGTTCGGTGCAAACGACGCCGGTGGCGTCTCCCCCTCCACCGCCGGCGGCGGTCCGAACCTTCGAGTGCAAGTACTGCGACATCAGCTTCCGGGACGATGTCTTGTATACAATCCACATGGGTTACCACGGATACGACGAGGTGTTCAAGTGTAACATGTGCGGCGAGAGAAGCGAAGACCGGATCGGGTTCTTTCTGCACATTGCGCGAAAGGCGCACTGATGCGGGGATTTGTGTTGACAGGAGTTAGTTTATATGAACTTGTTTTCAAAGCATGTAAAGACTAGTCGTTGTTGAAGATTGTTTGACGTAATAATAGAAAAAAAAAAGCAAAGACCACGCGAAGACTGAATAGCTAGTGTTAAGTGAAGCTTCTCAACGAGCGCGGAATCAAAAATCTCCTATGTTTAAGAAAGTGTGAGGAAAACTGAACCTAAGACTACGATGTAAGTTCAAAGCATTCTGTATTATGTGAAACATGTTGTATTATATAAAAAAACGAAGGAACTTGTAAAACATTCTAAAATGAGCGAGAAATCAAAGAATAAGTTTAAGGCGAAATAGTTTATAGGCAAGCTACGAAGCGTTTTTGTTTATCGAAATTAGGGACAACTGAAGGTCAGGTAAAATTTGTTGTGTAATTCCATAGTTACTAGGTTAGTGCTCACTGTACCTATATCATATTTATCGAAATTGAAATAAATTATTTGAAAATCAAACAAGTTGTGTTGAAGTATGGTTCGAACGTTACGATTATAGCCCCTTCACCACAGTACGCAGTCAGAACCACAAACGGGATTTGGATGTAGGTTAGCAATCAATCAAGGGACTCTGATAGCCTAGTCAGTAATGGCACGGTGTAACCAGGCCAGAGACGGTGGGTTCGAGTCACGGTTCGGTCGGGGAAGTCTTTCGAGTTGGATATGTTGTCGTCTTCCGTGGACATAGAGCGTTGAAGGTTCCAAATACGAGAAATTATTGTCCACTTTTAGATAAGCACATTCTGCGGGAAGCAGTTACATATGAGATGTGATTCTCGGGATGTTAAAAGTAAGGAGCGAATGGTGTGGAAAGCCTTCACAACTTCTAATTTAGCTTTGATCAGCCTAAATTACTGCAGTTAGTGTTACACTGTCAATACCCTAATTTTCGACCTATTACACAATGATGGAATTCAAATCAACGAGGAACGGGTGGAAGATTCCCACGACTATCAGCTAGACAGAGTTAGACCATAACGTGAAATGTTGGTGTGCTAGCATAATCTCGTTTATTAATTTATTTGATAAGGCTCAACCGAATTAACTTTACAGAGCCGAGGATTCTTGGTCACTATACAATACAAAACTATAGTCAAAAGGTACAACACAATAAACACTTTATCTTCCGCTATCCAAAAAGCCTCCTCTATCAGAAGTGGAGCCGCTTCCAATAGTTTCATTGTATGGCAAATTGTTGTACGCCAACGAGGGTCAGAGCGCGTCCATTGCAGCAATGGACGCAAAACGTGGTCAGCACTCACACACTCATCACGAAACGGTTGCTTTCCAAAGTCGACGACGCATCGACCGAAAGAACTGCTGATGAAGAACAATGAGGAGGACCACACAATGGTTGCTGCCGAGAAAACAGACGATCGCGTAGCACACATCGAGAGTGGCCTGCTTTTGTCGACAACCGAGTGAACACTGTGCTAGCATAATGCGCAGCATCATTTAATTTGTTCTCGAAATAGAACTCATAATTGGGATAAGTTCCCATCACTTCAAAGCATTATGATGATTGAAATTTTTTGCAAAGCATAGGTACTTTAACCCTCCGTTACTCGCGCTGTTGTACTTTGTACAGCACACATGAGTTTTCCATTGCCATTTTGTTGCTGAGTTACCTATCGATCTGAAACCAACGAGTATCCTCAAAAAACTCGTTTTGATCTAAACAAGCTAATCTTTGATTACAGTAAATACTTTAAAATGCGGATGATAGGGAAAATGTAAATGGAAACCGCGTAAACTGTGACCATACTACGTGGGATTTGACTTAATTGATTACAACATGGAATATATCGAGATCCTTACCAGATAGAAAGTTACTGTCTCCAACAAAGTTGTTCAGGAGATCATAGCCTTGTCGCTGGCGGAAAGTAGTTCAGAATTTTCTCACAACGTAGCGCTAGTATACAGGGTGCGTGACGAATTTTTGCAGTAAATTTCAAATAGTAATTTCTCATGCTTGTGCATCATGATTTAGATATATTTGGCAGCACTGGATAGCTTATACTGTTAGGTGTAAGATTTAAACAAACAATGTTGAGTAAACGTAAAGATGTCGAAACAAGAGAGCAATCTGTCAGCCGTTGTCGCTTTGTTGCGCGCCGGAGTATGCGTGAAAGAAAAAATTCGGTCGGTAAATGTGTCTGAAAGAACAGTGTATAATATTAAAAAAGGCTTGGGAGAGTGATAAGACGGAGCACCTGCTCATACTGCTAATAAAGCACAGAAATGGCTTACGGAAAATATTTCGTAAATTTGGGAGGAAGAAATTTGGCCCCCAAGCAGTCCCGATATCAATCCGTTGGATTATTTTGTATAGGGCGTCGTCCAACGGGATACCAATAGAACCCCTCACACCACACTTAAGCCGCTAAAAGCTAAAATCAAGGCAGTGATGACATCTATGGATCGAAACATTTTAAAACGTGCATACTGCAGTTTCCGGAAGCGTCTAACTACAGTTGTCGAAAGGGAAGGCAATTTTTTTGAATAAATTTACTCACAACTTCCATATGTTGCGAAAAAAAATAAATCGCACAAAATTCATTGCTAGAATACCTAACTGGTGTATTTTTTCTCAAATATGCCATTTACTGCAAAAAATCGTCACGCACCCTGTACATGTGAAATTCTCGCATGTGATATATCTCGAGATCCTGACCAGATAGAAAGTTACTGTCTCCAACAAAGTTTTTTAGGAGGTCAAAGCTTATTGCTTGGTACTCAATAGTTCAGCATTTGCTCACTACGTGACGCTAGTATACATGTGAAATTCTTATATAAAAAATCTCGAGTTCACGACCAGATAGAAAGGTACTGTCTTTGGCATAGTTGTTCAGGAGGTCAAGGCCTTTTTGCAGGTGGATAGTAGTTCAGAGTTTTCTCACTTCACGGCGCTACTATATATGTCAAATTCTCGCATATAAAATATCTCTAGATCCTAACCAGATGGAAAGTAAATGTATTCGGCAAAGTTGTTCAGGAAGTCAAGACCTTTTTGTTGGATGACAATTTTCACTATGCGGCGCTAATATATACGTGCCTTTCTCGCATATTTAATAGCTCGAGATCTTGATCAGCTAGAAAGTTGCTGTCTTCGGCAAAGTTGTTTAGGGGGTCAAGACTTTTTGGCTGGTAGACAGTAGTTAAGAATTTTCTCACCTCGTGGCGTTAGTATACATATATACTTCTCGCATATGCTATATCTCGAGATCCTGAACAGATAGAAAGTTACTATCTACGACAAAGTTGTTCAGGAGGTCAAGGTCTTTTGGCTGGTGAACTATAGTTCAGGATTGTCTCACTGCGCTGCGCTAGTATACACGTGCAATCCTCATATATGCTACAGCTCGAGATCCCGAACAGCTAGAAAATTACTGTCTTTGGCAAAGTTGTTTAGGAGATCAAAGCTTTTTGACTGGTGAACAGTAAATAGTTCAGAATATTTTCGGTATGCGGCGCTAGTGTACATGTGAAATATTTGTATATGCTTTAGCTTAAGGTCATGAAGTAACTGTCATCGTCGAAGTTGTACATGCGGCAAAGTTCTTCCGGATGGTGAGTTGATTAGTTCAGAATTTTATCACTTTGCAGCGTTAGTAGTCATGTGAATTGTAAAATATACTGAATCAAATGCAGCTTTATTATTTCGATGTGAAAAGGAACTAGATACCTCCATTATACCCAATATAGGTTTAGAAGTCATGCATATAGTTCGATGTGATCATATTGTTTCAATTTGTACCACATATTGTTTTATTTATTGTTGTTTTTTTTTCTCTTCTAACGTAACATATTTTAAACAGATTTTTTGTACATATGATGTTCACAACTATATCTTCTAATCATCTGTTGCACAACTTCTGCACAGCGTTGTAACCGTAGCGTGTTGTTTACATGTAAATCCTTTGCATCTACCACACTTGAGGGTAATAGAGGTGTTTCGGGTACGTCCGCAGGTTTTACAAGTTCCCTTCATTTTTTTCGCAGATGACTTCTCTTCTGTGATTCCATGGTTTGTTGGCACAACTGCATGCAAGATTTATTTAGCGTCTTTTGGGAGACTTTGGATAACCGTCCTCGAGATTAATTGCGCATTCATTAGACCGACAGCCAACTTATGAAGAAACACTCTTCTGAATTTCGACGAGACCTCTCTCTTTATTGATTTATCAATGATTTGTGCATTTATACCGGATGAAAACCAAATCAAGTATTGTACGTTAGTAAAGTACTACCACTTTCTTATCTAAATTTTATTTTCAGAAATATTCAAAATTGAATAGAAGATAACCGTGGGCCACCTGTTTGTTACTCTTGCAACCGAAAATGTTGCATAAAGTTGGTTAATGTAATGTAAAATGTATAAAATATATAGAGGAATGTACGTATTCTCAGCAACCTAAGCAGCGACCTTCTTTCTATAGCCCTTTTCTCTAAGGAACGCACACATATGCAGTATTGGTTTGTTTACAATCTTTTGCTGCCAGCTGCTCTAACAATTTCAGATGAAAGAATTGTCAAAAACTGTTTTGAAACGCATTTACAAAGCTCCAATCTTCTCTAGTGAGAGCGAGTATTGTCGGCAACCAGTTTTTCTTCGGCAACCGTTCCATTTGAACTGCATGTAAATCTGCTGTTCTATTATCGGCAACTCGAAATCAGCTACAATTTGTAGTGCGTGTGTTGCATTTCAAGAAAACCTTGCTAGATTGCTTTTTCTCAGTGGTAAACATATAGTCAAATTGAAGCTGAAAGCATAAAGAATCGTTTGCATGCATTCAGCGAAGTGTTTTCGTAAGAAAATCCAGTGAAAATAGTGTTTCAATTAGTGTTGCCGAAAATAGTCTGTCATGCCGAAGCCGTCATTTCCCTTATATATACACGAGTGACCCAGTCGAGCCATAGGACTATCTCAGTCATGAGATTGCTTCACTCAGTTGTCTGGAG